TGTATTTATTTGATCAAAAATACAGTATAAACAGTATTATTGTGTATTATTATTACAATAATACAGTTTTCTATGTGAATATTTAGTAAATGCAATTTATTCCTGTGATCAAAGCTGTATTTTCAGCATCATTACTCCAGTCTTCAGTGTCACATGATCTTCAGAAATCATTCTAATATGCTGATTTGCTGCCCAAGAAACATTTCTGATTATTATCAACATTGAAAACAGTTGTGCTGCTTCATATTTTCGTGGAAACTGTGATACATTTTATCTTTCATGATTCTTTGATGAATAGGATATCCAAAAGAACAGCATTTATTTCAAATAGAAATCTTTTGTAACATAAATGTCTTTACTGTCACTTTTGATCAATTTAATGTCCTTGGTAAATAAAAGTTTTAATAAAAAAAAACAAAAACAACAACAACTTGTGTGTGTGTGTTTTCAGATGGTTTTGATTTGACTGATGAATAAAACATAAAACTTTCAGTTGTGCATGTGTATTTGGATGGACAGATGAAGATGATCATGTAATCATACAGACTGATGTGTGTGTTTTAGGTTCACAGGTTAGTGATCGTGGATGAGCAGGAGGTTGTGAAAGGCATCGTGTCTCTGTCTGATATCTTACAGGCGCTGGTGCTCACCAGTGGAGACGATGGTAAGACTGCATTATGATATTGTCAAGCATTAATGCTCATATTCTGTAGTTTCAGTGGAACATGAAAGAATCTTTATATAACCTTTTCCAAATGACAGTTTAATGGCTGTCAAACTCCGATAAACACCAAAATGCACTTTTTTTTTTATAGTTGACTGTATGACTTCAGTTGTTAAGAATCAAATCTAAATTTTAGCAGTTCATTTTAAATCCTACAGGTAATGCTAGTTGGACTGATTCATTTTTGGTTGATTGTTTTGATCTATTGACAGCCTTTCCTTTGTTTTCCTCTTCAGGATGTGCTTGATGGAAGTAGAGACAAGTGAAGCAGAACGTCTCTGTATTTCCTCTTCTCTCAATAAGCCACAAGGTGTTCCAGAAAAAGGATTGATAGAGATGACACACGACCATCCCAAACACAGGAGATACTGAAGCACAACCGATTACAGAGTGAAGAAAGAGACATGCTGAGAAAAGACATTGCTCTTCTAAGAACAAACTCTTTTAATCATAGAGCCTCCGTACCGCTTCAGGGAGTCTACAAGGAAATGATACCGTTTTAATTGGACAGAATTCAAATGATTTTAATTATGTCACTCGGCACAGTTCTAGCTGACATGACAGCCGTCGTTCATGTTATTTCCCTCACAGAAGGACAGCAGATGAGCGCTGGAAATGCAGATGAGATGTTTGTGCAGGTGTTTAAGTATCAGTGGAGAACAAACCGAGTATGGACTGAAACATTCCATTATTGATCTGGTAGCACAGCGTTTTTCTATCATGTGGGCATTTGAAATTGAAGAGTTTCATCTGAATCGGTCTGTTTCCACACTACACACTGATACAGTCACTCCGGCAGTATTCGGATCCAGTTTCTCTGAACATCAAACCAGAGCCATTTCAACTTCCTTTATAATGTGAGAACATGGAGCGCTTTGCTAAAATGTTTTGAAATTAACCATTGAATATTTATAGCATTGGAAAAACAATTACAGCTCCAGAATATTATCATAGATACATTTTGTTAATCCTTGATTTTCGCTGTTGTTTTGGGCCGGACGGACAGTTCTATGGCTGATGCAGATGTGTTTTACTTCTAGGTTGCTCATAACATGTTGCTACTGATTTTATTCTGCTTCAGTTGTTTTCAGCTGCATGATCTCAGTGGCTTTTATCAATGCATTGACGTGAAGAGGAAGCAGAGTGTTTTTATAGATTAAACATTAGAAGCTCTCATGAGAAACCGCCACTGATCTCCTCTGTCAGCTGTGCATTATGGGTACATTGTGATGTCATTTCAGTTAGATATGCTTCCACAATTAGCTGTTGATGTAATTTGACAAATAAATGTACCACAGCGAAAATGAGAATCACAGAATCATGAGAAACATCAGATCGGCTCTGGACTTCTCTTGTTTTTATTGTAGCTAGTTTTGCTATGAGAAGAGATCATTCCATCATTTTATTGAAATATATTTTGCTCTGTAATAATTTTTATGCCACACATCTGTAAATACACCTGAACTGTTTTCTAATTCTGTCATGTCAAAGATGTTTTATTCAAGGCACAAGCAAATAAAATCGGTTCAGTTTATCAGTTGTTGCATTTCTTACTTTGGATAAACCGAGCACTTATGTGGATTATTTAATGAATAGAAATTTCAAAAGAACAGCATTTAATTGAAATAGAAATATTTTATTACACTACAAATGTTTTACTGCCACTGATTTCATGCATCCTTGCTGAATAAAAGTATGAATTTACTTTTGCTTTGACTTATTTTTCATAAAAACCTTTGGCGAACATTTATGACACCCGTCTTCTAATATTCTTGGGCATCTAAAAAAATTTTTTTTTTCTTTTTTTATAATCATACATCCATGTCAAAGAAAGTCATAAATTAGTCTGTCATTGCTGTTACTAATAGTGCCAATTAATTTCCAGTGTGCATAAAATTAGTAATAGTATGTTTCGTCCAGCGAAATTACTCCGCCTCATTTACAGTAACATTTCACTTTTAAAGCATCTGTAAAGCTTGTGAAATCTCTTAAGATTTAAAGTCTTTAAAAAGCAAACAATTGTGATTTTTATATTTCGAAACTTGAATTTTATGAGAACTTGAAAAAGTTACAAGAGCACATTTTCACTTCTACTTGGAACATTATCAGGTTGGAGTATTTATTTGAAGTCTGCGATTTGACTTATCTTTACTTGGCTCTAAACCATGTCAAACAAAAATATAAAAAGTCACTTTATTAGATGAAAGCTGCATTTGTATAACATTTCACTTTTAAAGCATCTGTAAAGCTTGTGAAATCTCTTAAGATTTAAAGTCTTTAAAAAGCAAACAATTGTGATTTTTATATTTCGAAACTTGAATTTTATGAGAACTTGAAAAAGTTACAAGAGCACATTTTCACTTCTACTTGAACATTATCAGGTTGGAGTATTTATTTGAAGTCTGCGATTTGACTTATCTTTATTTGGCTCTAAACCATGTCAAACAAAAATATAAAAAGTCACTTTATTAGATGAAAGTTGCATTTGTATTTCTAATTTCCCTTTGCGATCAAGCTGAACTAGTTTTGCATTATAGCTATCTGATGAACTCTTGATGCTCCCTCAGGCTTTATTCCAGTTCAACCAGTTTTTAATAAACGTCTTGTGTAAATGTCATGTTTGACAACATAAATTACATGTTTTCTATAGTTTGAACAAGTTATTGAATTACACTCACCATATTTACATTATTAAAAGTTCTGAAGCAGGAATGAACACATGACAAATGTAGGAAAGCCTGTATTTATTCACCATATTTACATTATTAAAAGTTCTGAAGCAGGAATGAACACATGACAAATGTAGGAAAACCTGTATTTATTACCATTTAATAATTACCCATGTACATGATTGGAAACTGAAATTCCTGAAAAGTCTCTCCATGTAGATTTGGGAAATACACTCGGGATTATACAGGTCGGCTGTGAGGTCAGATGATTGAGGAAACTTCCTTATGCTAAACCGGGACTAAGACGTAAAATCACACTGTCGCCCTCGTTTAGCGGTTATAATTAGCCGGGCGACGGACATCTCCACTACAGTCAGCAGACGTTTATGAAGCCCAAATCCTGCCAGCAGCGACATGCTTTCTGGAAACTATAAATACATGTACAAACCGAACTCGACAGTAGAAACAAATACAGATCAAACCCGAACACTTATTCCCAATTCAAGATGATTTTCTCAATCAGCAGCCGATGTGCCAGTGTCGTCTTATATTTCTCAGTAGTGTTGTGACTCAATCCAGTGTTACCAATACATTTCACATGGTAACTTGTCATTTTGGATCTACATAAACATAACATGAAAATATAATCTAAAGAAAGCATTAACATGTTCTTCCAACTATATGCAATAATTTTTGGCTTTTTCTGGACACATTTTAATAGTGTAAGGTGACTGAATTGTTGCAAATGGACGAAGGAGAATAACAGTACTTGTTCAGATTGTCAAAACACAAACTCGAGACACCAGGTCCAGTGAAACTGGGAGATAAAATCTAATTCAATGAAAGACCACCGACCAAAAACCCTGTGCAGCTGCTGCAAGACCTACTGTTAAAAGCGCTATACGAATAAAACCTGAATTAAAAACGAGTCACATTAAAAAACAAACCACAAAACAGAACCACACAATTGTCTACTGAATCAAATCGGATTAATAAAAAAGGTCATACATTATAGAAACTATATTTACATCTTGCATATTAAGCGGACAGAGGAACAGAAGGGCAGTAGTATTTATCCATGGAGTACGAGAGAGAGACATAATGTCTGTCAGGAGTCATAAATAGTGTAGTAGGAGTAAAGCAGTGCGCTTCGACGCCAAACTTTTCAAGTTACATTTTCAAGTCGTTCTCCTCATTACAGACCCAGTGCATGAAGAAGAATCAGATCGATTTCCTAGGATCACGTCGTAATGTCACTTGCGGCAGGAGCCGCAAAAATTCAAATCCTGTCATTTTTCGCCCTTATGATGCTCCAAACCTGCATGACTTTTTCTTGCATTGGACAAGTTCATGCAAACCTCTGTCTTGCAATTAAATTGCATGAATAAAGTATCACAGATGTAGTTCATATGAATTCAGAGAACTTTGAATATAGCATAAATTCATATTGATCATTTATGGTGATGTTTCATCATTTTTTGAGTGCAGCTTGCACATTCTGCTCAATATGTCCTTTTGTGTTTTACAGTAAAAATTCCGTCATACGGGTTTGGAGTGATATGAGGACGATAAACGCTCTTATGTTTGCATGAAAAAACGAACTTCAAGTCCATACAAAACAGTTCCAATGCTCCTCAGTTAATTAAATGTGCGTCATTATAGTGTCATTTAATGCTACAGTGACAGGTTTAGCTATGAAAAACAAAGTTTAACAAAAGCCTGTACTTTAGCCACCGCTTCCGCTGACCCGTACAGCTTCACATCTCTCATGTTCCTACACGATCAAACCTTTAGCTTAGTATGTTGTCAAACTCATTCAACCCTGTAACATGTCACTAAGTTATTTAGGGAAAAAAAATATTTATTTGATATGAAAGCATAATATATGTTAATAAATAATATAAGTTATTAATAATAATGGTGTGTGTGTGTATTTAAAAATTATATACTTATTATTAATAACACATATACAAATTAAAATAATTTATAAAGTTAATAAACTATGTACTTACAATATATAAATATGTAAAATAAAACATTTTATATTATTTTAAAAATTCATATATACTTATTTGTATTGTTTATTGCTAGTAAAAATAGAAAATGCAAAAATAAAAGTGCTCGTATAACATTTTTATTAATAATATTGTTTATGAAGTGGACAAACAACACTTTCTGAAGTTTTAAGCACTTCTTTAACTGAAGTTTTGTTGAAACGGCAAAAATTAGAAAAGGTTTGGAAATCTCATCTTTCAGAACTCAACACCACCTTCCCAATCTGAAAAGACCATGTATAAATAAAATAGCAAAAACAGGCAATTCAGAAATCACCATATTTGCAAAGATATAGAAAGGCTATTTTAAGTGGGTTCAGGAAAAAAAAAAAGAAAATTATGAGAAGACCAGTTTAGTAGCTGCAGAGGAACTCTCTCTCTCACCTCATAGCTCTGCCACCAGTTGGGGATGTTGGGTCGTAACCTCTGATCACACACCACTTTCCTCATCTCCTCTATGGATGGGTCAGAGGGCACCAGGTCATAGTAGGGCAGCTGGTACTCTTCATGAATACCTCCAGCATTGCAGCGGCGAGCGATTTCCCAGTACACGAGTCCCAGAGCGTAGATGTCAGCGCATTTAAACGAGTCGAAGTGACGCATGTTAATAGTCTCTTCCAGAACCTCAGGTGCCATGTACCTGAAACACACACAGAAACAGGATCACTGAAAGAACATCAAGTAGAAAACACAAACCATTGACCATATGAGCAGACGTTTTAGGTCGGATTATTGTAACAAGCTGTACCTCTTAGTGCCGACGCGCTGGTTGGGGGCGATATCGATGGTGTCAGTGATGGACTCGTGACGAACAGCCAGGCCGAGATCAGCGATTGCACACGTGCAGTTTTTCTTCACCAGGATGTTCTTGGACTTCAGGTCACGGTGAGCGATGCCAGGCTTACCTGATGACAAAGACAAAACCATTACAGATACACACGCATCTAGTAAAAACTCTCTGACCACAGAAGAAAAGTGTTCCACACCCTCACGCGCTCCCACATACACAACATTTTTAGGCATCACGACTGTTTCAAACAGTGGGCTGCACAAGAACACAGCCTAAGTCACCACTGCATGTATCCTTCAAGGATATGACCAGCCCAGAATGCATTCAAGATGGCAGATGGAGTCAAGGGAAATATCCGTTTTAAAAATATCTGATTCTGTACTGAAAAGTATTGATAAAAATTGTTTAACGACCCAATATGTGTGTGATCTCTATGTTTGTGTTTATTAGTTGTCAGACTCTCCTAGAATCGACTGCGAGTGTAAAGTAAACTTTTCATGCAATTCACTTTAGTGAACACTGATAAATACCAATAATCAGCTTAATGAAATAACCTTTTTTTTTTTCTTTTTTTTTAAAATAAGGTTAGTACATGTTACTGTCGGCAAAATGTAATAATTTGTGCATCTGACAATGAGTATTCAATTTTACAAAAAAAAAAAATGCTTAAGGCTTGAATATCTCCCAACCACTAGAATACAGAAATAACTTTTAATGTAGCTTCTGATTATGCTGCAAAAAACTGAAACTTAATTTTGTTCCATTTTTCAAGACTTAATTTTGTATTTGCATCTCGAGTAAATGTATCCTGATTTTAAGATGTTTAGATATTTGTATTAGGGGGAAAAGAAACCTGAGGAAGAAATGTATTTTTTTAAATGCATGCAACATTTAATGCCATGACTTTATGAATTTAACACTTTCGGCTTTGACTGAAGACCTTTTTAAGGCCTTGAATTGTGGAATGGTAAATTAAGACTTTTAAGATCTTTTTAAAAAAGACCCACAGAAACTTTGGACAAAGGAAGAAGAGTTAATGTGACCACATGCATTGTTGGCTTATTAAGCATAATCAGGCTCCTTTAATCTTTTTATCAAATCACAATGCTTTTCATGTCTGATGTTTCTTTGTTCATTAGTAATTTAACAGCATGCCATCCTCCACAGCTATTTTCATGACAAACAACAAGTTAAAACAACAATAAAAGCCTGCGCATCTGATGCAGATGATGTGTTAGAAGTTAGCTCCCTATGTAGACAGCAAACTGGCTCACTAGGTATTGGAACGGACATAATTTAATCGAATAACCCTGACAAACTCACCCTGAGTGCCCAGTATCTCCATGTGCAGATGCGCCAGGCCGCTGGCAGCCGACAGTGCTAGTTTAATCATGCCCTCGATGGTGACTGAATATCGGTTCAGATAGTCAAACAGGGATCCATTCTCATGATAGTCTGACACCAACCACAACTGAGTCCATGTGCCATTATCTGTGACAGAGAGAATTAAACATGATTAAACCTAGATGACAACACTACGCATACTATAAAACAGCTCATTAAAACACAGCATATTCATTTGTTTACCTTTGTTGTCGGCAGCAATGAAGCCCAGGATGTTCTCGTGGCGGAGCATGATGGTCTGGTAGATTTCAGCTTCACGAAACCAGGAGCGCTCCTCACGAGAGGAGAAGATCTTCACGGCGACGTCTCCTCCTCTCCACTTCCCCCTCCACACCTCCCCAAAGCGGCCTTTACCGATGATCTCCTGCAGCACTATGGTACGAGCCACTGTCCTCTGGACAAACAGCGGCAGACCTGCAGAATCAATGAGAGAATAAGGCTTAAAGCTGAACTAAAAATAAATGAAACCTAAATAGTGATATAAAAAAAAAATAATAATAATAATAATGACAAAGGACAAAAGCACATAACAAAACTACTAACATTTCAAAATATTTAAATATAAACTAGAAAAGTATATAAACAATGATAAAATAACACTGTGCATAAGTCAAACGGACTACTGTTATGAAACTTGGAGAACGGCAGCCAAAATGTAATTTTAATGGCATTTTGTTAGATATGTACATAGTGGAAAAACATATAAAATAGGACATATATAAAGGATATATTATGAAGTTTTTTTCCCTCCAGAACTCCATATTAACTCCACATTAATCAAAAAAGACAACAAAAATGAAAATGATAATGAACAAAACCAAAATGTGGTTTATGCATGTTACATCAGGGATATTATTGTTTTGTTAACTGAAATAAAGCTGACATATAATAAAATATAAACAATAGATGAAAAACTAGAAAACCAAAATGAAATATTGCAACTAACTGAAATGTGCTTGGGTTGAAGCACTAAAATTACTAACTGAAACTTGACTAAAACTGAGGAAAGACCCACACAAAAAAGAACATAAAAAAACCTGAAATAAAATTAAAACCGAAAATATAAAAATAAAAGCTCATTCTAAATATGAATAAAAACTATAATGGTATATTAATTCATCTATCAGATAAAAAATAAATAAATAGGAAACTATAGTAAAGTAGAAGTAAAGTAGTAATGTTGACTTGGCAACTATGATATTGAAAAAAATAAAACTGTAAAAAAAAAAAAAAAAAAAATAGCAATATAAAAAAAAAATGACAAAAGCACACAAAAAAAGTAAATTACAAAGAATACAATAAATAAATAAAAGCCATTTCAAAATATTAAAAACGACAATAATATATAAATAATACTAAAATAACACTGTTGCATACATGCATAAACAAACCATACACCAAATTTTCTCCTGCAATACTAACCAGACCCAGATCCTGAAGTGGAGAGGTCGTAGATGAGGTCCTGTAAGGTCTTGTCCTTGGCCAGGAACATGTGTTCAGTGCTGGGATCCTCTACCTCCAGTCTCTGCCGGTGACCGTAGGCCCGCTGGCGGCGCTGGAACAGAAAGAGACCCAGCAGAACCAGCACAAAGACCGGCCCCGCCACCACTGCAGTGAGCTCCACCGGCCCCCAGTCCTGCCCTGAACCCGGTGCGTTTGTCACTGACAGAGAACACGCTGCATTAGTTCCACATCTGGAATTCACTAGCTGTTTTTGATAATGATTATAGCTGATATAAAGAACTGATGCTCACCGGTTGGTAGTTTGAGGTCGATGCTGTTGCAGTAATCAGAGTAGCAACAGTGAGTGTTCAGCAGTCCCTCTGCGCTGAGGCAGTAGAACGGCTGGCCCGGAGGAACCAGGTCCTCTTTCTGGATGCAGAACCGCACATGCTGCTCCTGTCCTTCAAAGACTGAGGTGGAGGCCACACACGCACCCTTGGTCTCGCACTTATACCCATCCTTCACACACTGTGGTGTGGTGCAGTTACAGAACAGAGCTGCAGAGAGAACCAAAATTATATATTACATGTATATATTAACACTATAATATACAGTAAGAAATAATTGATGACGGGCCATTGAATTAATATTTGCCAGGTTTTTGTCCATAAATGCTCAGTGTGTAGGATTAATTTCTTACACATCTCATTCCACACCTTCGTTGCTAATTCTGAAATGTAATTTTAGAGCCAGTAACGGAGGCTTGAGATGTTGATAGCAGACTAATGCAGTTATAAATGCAGTTATGAGAGAAAGATTAAGCGTTTGTGAATCACCCGAATCTGCATCTCTCAACAGAGCCTGGCAAAAGCCTCTCTAATAGTGAAACTTGAGGTTCATCTGCTTCAAGGACAGCGCCATACCGCGCTAGTGAGAAATTGTCATGTTGCCTGCTAAACTTTAATTTGCTGAACTATTTTACTGACCAAATTGTCAGAGCAGCGCTAACAACGCGTTTCTGTGTTCGTGTGCTTCTATGTGTTTCAGTACTGTATGTGTGTGCGTATGTACGGAAGCGAGCAGGAGAGAGAGAGAGAGAGTGTGCACTTTCTGTACATAATCATGTAATCTTGTGGCAAGAAACATGGAAATAATTAGCAATTTTTGTCCTATTGTTTACTATATTTATTAGCTTGGTCACTGTCACTGTGGGTTTTGGTTCTTTTGCTGTACGGACCTCTGAAATAACTGAAATCATGATCAATGATGCGGTCAAGACCCGCCTCGAACTACTTTAGCTGTGCATTTCCCTGAAAATAATTGCACACCTTGGAACGTACGTCAGCCAATCAGATTCAAGCATTCAACAGCCCAGTAGTAAAATATACTATATTAAAGCCACAATCTCAAACTGTTTGTGAATGTCTGTAATGTAGTGAACGGACTGCAGATGTGTCTTTTCAACAGCAGGGGGTGGCAGAGATCAGAGGAGTCATACTGTGCATGACCGTACAAACCCTAATGTGATGATCGGGTGCGGGTCGGGTGCGGTTATCTAAATCAGACAAAAATGCAGGTGCGGGCGGTTGGCGGGTGGATAGTTTATTTGAAGCTGTGGATTCGGGTGACGTTTTATCTCATCCGCGCATCACTACTGTGCACCAAGCAGCTTCATGTCTGTTTTTGTAGGGAGAATCCAGAAACAGTTGTTAATTTTTCCTTTTATGTATATGTATTTTATAAAAAATCCAAATAAATTTTGATTGCAAAATTAAATTGCATGTATTACAATTATTATATTATGCATCTTTTATAAAACAATGGACTTAATTTATAACATTTATTTATATTTTTAATAAAATGGTTTAAAATGAAGTTTCATGGCTGGTGAGATAAGTTGTCTATACTGGCTCATCCCCAGCATAAGGCAACTTCAGAAAGACAAAAAAAGCATGTGAAAATGTTCTTTATAATCAGTTTCATCTGAATGCCTCTAAAACAACTTTCATCAAGGCAAAACAGAAAGTTTCAAAGGGTGATTGTGGTATGGAAAACAATCAATTTTCATGATCCAATAATCTCCTGATTGATTAAATAAAGTCCCACATTTGTATCCTTGTTGGAATACTGCATAGGACAACATAAAACTGCATTATTTCCTCCCCTCCCACAATTTTTCTTGGTTAAAGACTCATTCATCAGGTCTGTCCAAGAGCAGCCAGACAGAGATGATTCAATCAAACATTGGTTAAAGACTCATTCATCAGGTCTGTCCAAGAGCAGCCAGACAGAGATGATTCAATCAAACTTGAACCAGAGCACATGTAAATGGAGGATGTAGACGGTCAAAAGTGAAGAACAGCAGACCACACAGACTCAACTCATCTGAGCTGCCTTGAGCAATGAGAGATGAGAGCGATGGGCTGCAGGAGTATTCTAGAGATGTGCTTTGGGGAGATGCAATCTAAAGAACTATAGCATTTTTGTGTTCATAAGAGAGAGTCTCAAGACATATTTTCTAAAAACTACCTTTATCTACTTTTTAACTTACCATTTCATCCTAAAATGATAAGCATCTTCTTAGAGATGTTGATAGCCCAATTGGCCTCGGCCATGCAAGCATTTCACTCACATTTGCGAATAAAACTAAATACGCAAACTGTAAAATTTATTTAGGAGCATGTGTGTGAATGAAAAAGTCCCTCTGTTTTATGAAATTTTAGCTCAAAAAAGCCTTAAGTATCTTAAATTGAATAACAAACATCTTAATTATATTTTAAGAGGTCTTAAATTTGGTGATGAAAAAAAACAGGAATCGCTAAACAGCCTAATGTTTTTATTAATCTTCAAATATATGATTTCATTGAATATATGAGTGCTGCACATTTCATAGTCAAAACGTGGCACTGTTGCGCATTCAACAGGCTCGCGGTTTCAGAGCAATCAATTAAAAACATGCATTTATGCCAAGCAGTTACTTACAATGAAATTATGACAATGTTTAATTCTCGGATTTTATATTGTAATATTTTGTAGACATGAATGAGCAGCCCACAATGCTAAAGCATTTCAAAATAAGAGACCTGGTGTATTTTGACAATATGCATATGGTGGAAAAAAGTAAGCATCAAACAGCTACTGTTGCAGGCTAAAAACCCTCTTCAAGTTGTTGCATCTCCAAATCCACTTTTAATGATCATGAAAGCCAAAGATAAAAATAGTCACTTGCTGACCTCACTGACCATCTTAACCCAACACTGGAGTTTTAAATCAGCCACCAACATTTACATAACACCTATTTATTTTCAGCATCTCTGCCTGCCCTGATAAATATTAACGTGAACTATGCCAGTACACTGAGCCAATTATCAAAAGTTACATTAATAAAAACTATAAAAGATTTGCATACAGAAATCTAAAAAGTACTTCAGCAACAGCCTGTTTTATTACAAGGGTCAGAGGATATGAATAAAGTTTCTGGTACAGGAAACCATGACTAACAAACATGACTAGAGATTTCACAGGAAAAAACTACTAAACTGTAAAGCACGTCTTCACTAATTACTGGCAGTCCTATAAGTCATGTAACAAGTTGTGTAAAAGAGTTATGCAACAGCTGCGAGTCCCTGAAGTGCTTTTTGACAGCCGATGCCGATATCTTGGAAAGCAGAGTGGCCGATGGCCGATATAAAGCGATATAATTTTATTTATTTTAATTAATGTCGCTGTCAGCGCAGTCAAAATAAAAGTCCCGCCTCGAATGCATCGGCCAAACAGGAAAACTTATCGGCCGATGCCGATATATCGGTCGACCACTACTTACCAACACGGAGGAGAAAACATGTCCCATATCCCTCTGCTGTTAAATTCAAAGTTCAATCAAACTCTGCAGTAATTTGGCGCAAGAGTTTAGTGCAGAGTTGGGGGCAAAACTAGGCCTGTCGCAATAATCAATATATTGACTTATTGCGCAATATATGTACATGACCTCAATCATTTTTGGGAACGCAATACGGCGTGTTGCATTCGTAGCGTGACTGAACACAGTTCCAGCTCATGCCAACATGCCAAGCCAAAAACATGGAGCGATTAAACAAATTAAGCCTGTGATCAATTCACATTAAGAGGATCTTGTTTTATGTGTTTTTCAGCAATAGTGTGCACCCTTCATTTACTGAGAAAAGAAGGTCAGGGAAAAATCTGTAGATGGAAAAATCTCCATACAAGTTCTTTGTGCATCTTTCTTTTTTCTACTTGTTACTTTGCACTTTCTAACTTTGTTAGAAAATTTTTATTTACTATTTATTCAGGTTTTTTAAGGTATCTAATATTTTGATACTTAATTTCCATGATCTAAATATTCTTAAGAATTAAAAGTGTGTTGTCATTTGAAAGTGTGTAGGCCTTCTTGCATTATTATGCCGTTATATTATGATTATATATTCAGTGGCATTAAATGGTCTTTAAAATGACAATAATATCGCTTTTCGCAATTATTTCAGGGACAATATATCGCACAACATAAAGTTGTTATTGTGACAGGCCTAGGCAAAACTGTGTATTTTAAATTTTTTTATATGCAATTAATCTTTTTGCATAATGCCAAAATATGCCTCTGCAAATTGAATGCAATTTAATTGAGGACATTGCTTAATAAATTTTAGTACTGCATTAGGTTGCAATTTGATGCCAAATGTAAAAAAATATTTTATTTTTTTTTAATTTCCATTCTGTCTAAACCAATAAAAAACAAAAATAACATCAAAACACATACCAAACACCATTTAGCAAATAATAGTAATAGTATAACAGTACCGTCAAGTAAAACAGAAGCTAAAGTTCATGAAAACATAAACAAAATTCTGACTTGCTGTGACGGTGGCATCTCAAATATCAAAGAAATATTACAGTTAAAGAAGAAAGTAGCCTAAATAAGAAAGTTAAATACACCCTGTCTACAGGACGCGAGCGGTGCAGTGCGACTCATTATAATCATTTTGGCCAGTTTGTACACACTTGTACAAACGCGGATGGGTGACATGAATGGAGATGGCTCCAGATCGGCGATGTTTTATTTGGTTTCCCAACAAGGCCCATCGCCCAACACAAATTTAATTTGCTGAATGCAGAATAAACTGTATTTTCCTGCGCTCAAACCTGCCAGCCTAAAGGAAACGCTGTGTATGGCGTTTGAGGTAATTTGTGAATTACCATAGACTTAGTCTAAATAAAACAATTTGCAACTATTACTGTTATTACAC